CGTATGAGCGCGTGTGTGTGTATATATAAAAAAGGAGAAGATATTCAGAAATACAAAAATTATGTATACATAAAATTTACATACGGAGTTTTTATAATACCATTCTCCACAGGACATTTACTTATCGGTGGCAACTTAAAAATCCGAGCAATTTTCGGATGATTCGGTGGAAATTCCGGATATAAAGCGTTCGGATCGATACCATCTTCAGTAACTTCATTTTTGTGATTTGTAATATCGTCGCTATATTTAAAACCAAAGTATTCAAAGATAAGTATAGACATATTTCTGGACAATTATGATGATGCGAGACCGATTATAAAATGCATTTTACAATGTATTCTCATAAAAAATTTATTGAAAATAATAATACATAATAGACAATGAGACAAGATAAATGAGACAAAATTAAGTTAAAAATATTGAAAATAATAATAATAGTAACAATATATACATAATATAAACAATATAAAAATGTTAATATCATTCCGACACGCATAGTGCTAGACTTCCAATGAGGCAATACTTTTAATGGGACATACTGTTTTGTATATTTCATAGCACAGTTTAAAATATTACAATAGCAATAGCATAACTGTTTGTATTATATATTTTAATTTTTAGTAATATAATTATATGATTGATATAAAAATATAAAACAACTGATTATCAAGTTTCATAATAAATACCAAAAAATATTATATTTGGCCTTCATAACAAAATGTAAAGAAATGTATATTTCTTATATGATTATATGTACTTTACGATATATAGATATATATCACAATTCTATTCTATCATACCATGTTACAATGTGATGTTACATTATATCACTTACATTTGTTCAGGTGTTAAGGTTTCCACATCATCATGAACATTTAAATTTATATTAGTAGAATAATTTCTCATCACACTTCTTGCTCTCCTATACGCGCTGTCTGTAAATCTACATACTGTATTTTCATCTCCTCTTTCCAACAATTCAATACTGCTAGATAGTATAAAATGAAGGGTACACTGTAATAAAGTATTTCAGATATAATTATATATATATATGTGTGTGTGTGTGTGTGTGTGTGTGTGTGTGTGTGTGTGTGTGTGTGTGTGTAATAATATATATATATTATATAATATATTGTTATACATATGGTAAAATTACGTAGTATTAATTATTGAAATAATAAATTTCTTACCAAGAGTAAATAAAATAATCCAAGAATATAATCTAATCATCTCGCAACTATAAAGAATAGAAAATATTATGTTATCATCTCTCATGAATTGATACTTCTATTTAAGTTAACGTTGCAGGAAAAAATATTTCATAATTTGTTTGAAAATGAAGAACTTACCCAAGCCTTTTGTACTATTGCTGCTTTATACTAAAGACACGTTATCCCTTCGATCATTTAACAAGATACTATACCACACCTTTTAGAGACATAGTAACACCTACCATACTATCAAGAGATAAGATATGGTACGTTATGAGTAATCTTCCCCACTTGATTGTAAAGATGATTCTTTTTATTGAGAATATCATTCCATGGTTTCATGTCGTGAGACTATTTTATATATATATATCTCAACTACTTGTTATAAAATTATTGTAGTTTTTAAAATTGTTTAATGATTGTTTGCACACATACGTAACTGCTTAATGATTATTTGTAAATGTATATCGTCAAATGATTAAAGTTTTACTTATAAATGAAAGCGAAAATATATAAATAAACGATAATTAAACAGATATTGTTGTAATTGACTTAACGTATTTCTTGTGCGGAAACATTTCTATTCATAATATGTAAAAGTATCTAAGCATTGAGATTGCAAAGTCATAATTATCTTATCAAAGTAGAACGTAATCTTACTACATTTTTACATGTAGTATTTGTACAATAATGTGAATCATTGAAAAGTATATAAAACAAGTGAAACATGTTACACCTTGTAAAATATTATAAATATATGAAATTATTATAATATATTATTATAATATATGAATAAATATATACCTGAAAAAAATTGATATAAAATTGTTCAAAGTTAAATAAAAAGATAAAATTGTAAAAAATTGTACATATTGTATGAACAATTACATCCCGAAAAACAGATATATTGTTTGTGAAAAACTTTCAGAAAAGTTTTGAAATTTTTTCAACTTGTCACATTTCATGTGCAAGAAAGAATTCTGCAATATATTATATGAAATATTGCAACAGAAATGTTTTTGAAATCTTTCACATAAATTTAAAAACATAATTGTAAGATTGCCACTAAATGACATTCCTTTTTCGTACGCAAAATTTGTTAAATCTTCTATATAAATTAAAATCACTATAATCAAAACTCAAACAAGGTACAATTATTTGCGTATCTTTTGCATTCGCTCAATGAACAAAATGTCAAATGACGTTTTACTAACGTTTGCTGACATCACTTTATTCATTGAGCATATACTGGATGCAAAACTTTATTTTCTTTGCAGCAAGAGAGATAACAAATATATATATTTAAACAATATGTACTGGTAGAAAACAAGAATTACAGTTTAGACTGTTTGAAATAAGACACTATATATGTACATAACAATCTTTTTTTCTTTTATCGCATATAAATATATAATTGCGGGCATATTTACAAATATTTTATATATTTAATAAACAAATATTTTATATATTTAATAACTTCGATAAGCATATTCGTATATTAATTTGATAAGAAATTGAAAATTACTTGAAACAGCAAGTTCTCCGAGTTCTGGCTCTTTCAAAAGCATATCTATATGTGGTAAAAATTCGTTCACTTTCCCACCTAAGTAGCAAAAATACAAACATAAAATATTTGTAAAAATCTTATTTTATTAAATGAAAATCTGTTGATGTTTCATCAAGTATGACTTACCCATAAAATATGTTAGATCCATCAACTTGAAAAATAATGTCTCTTGAATTTGCTGCTCAGGATTTTTTTCCACATTGCTCCACTGATTTCGTCGAGCTGCACGTGCCCAAATTTGCAATTTCAGAGATGATTTGTCCTCTTCGTGTTCCACATAATCGAGTAAATCGAGAGCTTTCTTGAAATCATATTCATTAGCTATGACATTGTCGCTCGAAGTGTATAACATAATTAATTCTCTCGGTGTTAGTACTCGTAGCTTCTTGATATCATAGCCATACGTTGTAAGCACTTGAGTTGGTAAATCTTCTTGATAAGCAATGAGCGTCAATTCGTTGTCGATTGTTTTCATGCAGTCTGTTATTTTATCCTCCGGTTCATCTGATGCAAGTAGAGCCAATTTAGCTAAGGACAATTGTGTCTTTTTACGAGTGACTAGCTCAGATTCTTGAATTGCTAAGGTATGAAGCGTGTTGGCGGCAAACCGCAATTCGTCAGTCAACGCTGCTTGTACCCAGGACAAAGTCGGATGTTCCGATAATTTTTCTGTTAATTCCGCGGTACCGCCGCGTCTACATCTTTCGACCAATTGCCCCTGACGTCCATCTTTGACATACCAAGAAAATAAAAAGCTAGCGAAATTCTGTGCCGCAAATTTCTCGACATATCCATCCAGCCGATTCTTGTTGTTGGTCAATTCACAAATTTGTACTAGTGAGGGAAAGTCACAATATTTCTCAGCAAGCATAGCGGCGTTATCATATTGCTCCTCTTTTATCAGCGGTTGTATCAGATTGGCACGCTCCGTCTCGTATTGTTTCAAGAGAACTTCGAATTTCTCAGTACCACGAATGCTTTCCAAGTGACATTTTCTTCCATCTAATATCAAATCAATTAAACTGACCAATTGTTCGTACAGCTCGTTTTTTACAGTAGAGTCACTAGTTCCCGTTATACCATACTTAATAGTAATGTTTTGCATCGTATTGAGGCAATTTCTCAAACCGTGTTTACCTGGTGCAGCCGTCCAAGGAAGGTATTCGGTTATTTCATTGGAAAACTTAACAGGAACAAAACGTTCGGCATTGTATTGACGATATTTCACTACCTCATACAATACGGCTAATAAAATAGCATTGACTTGGACAATGTATTGTCCAACTTGCTGCAAAGGTCTTTCAGATTGCGTGACTTCATGTGCTTTTTCTACTAAAGTTGGCAGGAAAAGATGTATCATGCTTACTTCACGATAGAATATATCGCGCGCTGTAAGTTCGTCAGAAACGTGCACTTCTTTTTGATTCAATGTCTGATCCATGACTGCGTCTATGATCTCCGCATATCTGTTTTGCAGATTATACAAGGTTAATGCTGCAACAATTTTCTCTGCGTATTCGCTAAGTACGTGAGATGTAGCCATAATAGTTCCCCTGCACGTAACAGCACAGAATCTATTCCATAAGTTATGCTCTTTCAAAAATACTATAAAGAGATCCAGAGCTTTCTGTTTTCCCTCCAATTGATGCGATATTTGCATTGAGGTGACTGCATTCATTGTCATTGATAAATCTCTATGATGAGCCCATCTCGGATCGTTGGCCGGATAATCATCGATCAAATCTTTTGCGACCTTCAAAACGAGTGTGTCGAGGATAGCATCAATGTCCATTACTGGATCCTCTTGCAGAGGAAAGAGCTGACAGAGAATCTCATCGCATTGTGTCTTGTTCTGCCGCAATGTTAAAAGAAAAGCAGCACGTAATTGCATAGCCGCGTCAGGACTACAATACATATCTTGCAATTCGTCGTTACTTATAAGAGTGGAAAAGTTCTGGACTGTTTGATTTACTTTATATGTACAGTCCATATTTATAGTAGTGTAACTGGTGTTAAAATCTTGAACTGCAAAGTCTGTTGGTGTTATGGACACAAGACCGACACTTTTTATAAACAATACCGGGGTTGCCGAGCATATAGCACCACCAAGTATACCGTCCTCTCCGCCTTTTATCAGATCAATTTTGTCTTGTTCGACTTCAGACGCGGTGTTAACTACGAGTACATTATTCCGGTTGTATACAATTGCCTCCCAACCGCACAAGATGAAATGATAAGAAATTAGTCTCGATTCTATATCATTGTGATAAAATATCGGATCGATTTTTATTGGTATGAACCATTTAAATGAGTTTGACAATGTCGTATCGATTAGGGGTAATAATCCTAATGCAAAATGAATTTGTATGGATATATCGGCACAATGAGCCGCCATCAAAAGAACTATTCCTTCCTCGCATGTTTGCATATCAACAAACCATGTGTTCATATTTTGAGGACTCGATTCCCAAATTTTTCTTTGAAATGCTTGCTGAACAATGTGAGTGATATCTTGATCAAATTCCATTTTTTCTTGTTCGTTATGAGAAAATAACCAATATTGCAACGAAGATCCAGCAAGAATGAGAACTCTTGAGTTTCTCTCGTCTAATAATGTGCATGTAACTTTTACTAATTTTGTTTCTGTGACAGGCGATTGTGGTATCGCCCCAAAAATGAGAGAAGTCATTCTCCGACCTATTCCGCCAAGCCACCCTTGACTCGTTCGAAGCACTTGGCAAGTAATATTATTTTTCCCATTGTTGAATTGTGGCTGTAGGAGTGCTACTGTACATGTAGTTGTGGCTAGAATGCATCCATGACCTGGTACATGTATAAGACAATCTACTTCCTGTCCTGCAAGCTCAGCACTAGTTTCTATGGAAGATCCTTCGTGTGCCACACTCGTCCAGAAACGTACCATACCTTCTGGTGAAACTGCCATGCAACTAGGAACCTATGCATGGATAAGACAAAAATGTACATAAGTTACATTTATGCAGGCATATAATACTTTTATAAAAATTTATTTTCTCACTTTTTAATCGATAATTAATATATTTGGACAAAATATCAAAACATATAAATCATTTTAATTATTATTATTCTAAAAAAATATTAATGATTTGAGCTTCAAATAACTATTTTTAATCTTAGAAAAGATATTAAATGAAAGGATATCTTTCTTGTATATGATTCTCTTAATAACTTTATATAAAAGTATTAAAATGATAAAAAAGCAAATATATTCTTCCTATAATAGTACGAATACTACTCTACAATTTACCCTGCAATAAAATTATAAATCTATTAAGTTTATAAGATATTTGACATATTTCAATATAAAATATGAGATTTTGCAATGCTTACTTTATTATTTACTTTGTACTAATATTTACATTCATATAATAAGATAAATCAAACATTGTAAAAAAAATATATTAATTGTACTTTTTCGATAAGGACATAATTAGATGAAATTAGAAGAAATTTAAATGGTTATATAAAAAAATAAATATTATCAAAACATCATAAAAAATACATGCTATAAGAAATTTGTATGCATCAAATTTTTCCTTCTCTAAAGTAAAATTTTTGAATTAATTTATATTTTAAAGAAGGAAACAATTAAAATAATTGATGTGATAATTATCTATTTTATTTAAAGTAAAAGATACATAAATATATTGCAAGTAAGATTATAATGATTTTAATCTTTTTTTCATACTTGCTGACCAGGCATTGTCCATACTGCTATACAATCTGCTTTATGTGCCAGATCACTTTGAGGTAGCAACAATTCCCGACACTGAGTTTTAAAGGTTCTCCTTCGTTTAGGATCATGAATATTGGATTTACATTGCCATACAAGTAATTTACGGCCATAGACAAGCCAGGCCCAACCATCCACAGACATATTAACACTGATAGCCATATTCCGATCTACAAATGTTAATGCTTCCGTAACTAAGACTGGTAATGAAGAACCAAAACTTTCCACTGTATGATTTTGTGTTCTGCATATTACTTGTACAGATTGATTTGTACGTCCAGATATACTTGCTGTGCTAAAATTAAAATAAGATATAATAACAACAATAATACTATTATTTTGAAATAAAGCAATAGTAATCAAATTGAAGAATAAATTTTACAGAATCTCAAAATTTAATGAAAATATATTTAACCAATTCCATTTGGAATAAAAATAATAGTTTGAAAAATAATAATCATTGCTTAATGCTAAAGAGAAGTTCGATAATTAAGTATAAAAGTTAACACTTCCTGAGGATCAAAATTCTTAAAGTTACAAAGAAATAGAACTCATCATACAATTTTATCATAAATAATTATGAGTTTAATTATGTTGTAATTAATTATTTTAGTTCACATTTTGCATGTATTTTGATTATAAACTATGCTTATATGCTTTGGATTCAGTTAATAAGATATCCTTAGAAATATTTACTTTAACTACTAACTTTTTTATAATCAAACAGCAATTACTACTTATTATTTCCTTAATCTTCATTTTTATTTTAAATATCAATCAATTTAACGTATTTTTATCCAAATTTCCTAAAGTAAACATTGATCATGACAAATTAAGTATAAATCAATAATCTAATATAAATATAATATTAAAAAACATACGTATACATTCACATTATGTACATATGTACATATATATATGTGTATCACACACCACACACACACACACACACACACACACACAGAGCATACACATACACACACCACAATATAATTTACATATTATATTATGGTCATTATGATACAATATAAAAAAGCATTCCTCATATATATCGTGTATACAATTGTAATATAATTATATGTAATATAATTATCACACATAGAGAAACTTACGAATTTATTTTTTTTCTTAATGACT